AAGATCAAAAATGTCATCGGTTCCAAAGAATCATGTACAACTGCTCAGCTCAACGCTTGTTAGTTAGACATAAGACATGCAAAATCTTTCATACCCAAACAACCTAGGCCCTTTATGGAATCCTCTTCATTGTAGGGAATAACACTGAAGCCAATTTAAGATTGAAATCAGCGCGAAAAACGGAATTTCCTAGAATTCTCCCGTGTGAGTGTAAGGCATGCTGAGAAGCTCTTCCTTACCCAAACCGGAAGACTCCATTCTTGACGCATAGTTGACCGTGTCACCAAACAGGCAATATCGCGGCATTTTGAGACCAACAACCCCGGCAACCACGGGACCTGAAAGGAGGCATTGTTTAAGTCAGAAACACAAATAAATTCCTCATACCAAATCTTTTATTTTTCTTTTGTTAACTTTTCCAGGGTTCCATAAGGGCGACGCTAAAGGGACTCCCATGTTATGTTATTTTACAACCTGGCATGCCCCTTCATGTCAGCAAGACGCTAATCTTAATATCTTAGAAACTGAAGATTCTTACATGGAGCCTGATGAGATAACGCTAAAATTCAAACAAAGCACAACTGAACCAAATTGAACCATTTCTACAATATGTTTCGTACACCTAGAAACTCTAGGACTTTATCTCCTTTACAATTGAACATCTGTCATTTTCCTTTTTTTCTGTTCTTGTGTATCCTTTCGTCTTTTTATGTTATATTTCTTCATTTCCGTTTTATTTCCAGTGTAATTAAATTAAGTTAGTTAGGAAAAAAAATTGTCTCGCCTCGATTAGTATTTGCTATCTGCGGGTCAAAGAAATCTCTTGTAAATATATATGAAAATAAAAATGAAAGTGTGAAGACCTGTGAAGCGTGAATCATCTGCATTGGAAGATCCCACTAAACCCTTGTGCAAGTCAGTTTATGAACTCATGACCTGGAATGAAGCTAAGTTAGAAGGTTTCTAACCTGTATGAATCCCAATTCTGAGCTGTAGCTGCCTTCCTGGAACATGCCTTATTTTAAAAGTAGTCATTGCTGACAGCAAATCTAAGGACATGTTACTGATCTCGCCAGCATGTCTCATTCCATTCCTGTTTGGCAGCCCGGAAGCGACCACGTAGGCATCACCAATGGTCTCAACCTGAATTATAAGCAATGGATGTATAAACGTGTTCTCCTGTCAAGGCATTCTATTAAAGTGACTCAACTACCAATGAGCTTAACCTTGTTTACGCTGGAGAAGACACGTAGGTACTTAGTCATGTAACGTCTTACCTTGTAGACATCATGCATGTCAATGATTTCGTCAAAGCAAGTGTACAGGTCGTTAAGCAAGTCAACAACCTACAAACATATAAACCAAAAAAAGAGTATTTTCTAACAAATCGATATCACGAGGTCGACTTACGACATGTATATTCGGTAGCATATGTACCTGTAAGGGCGTGCTCTCAGATGCTAGCTTGGTGAAACCAACGATATCACTGAAAAAAAGTGTAGCGGAGTCAAAGGTTTCGGCAGTAACAGGCTGCCCTCTCTTAAGTTCCTCTGCCACAGACCTGTCATCAAACAAAACCAAACAAAGAAGTAAGTAGCATGAGAGTGAATACAAAAGATGTCATCGTAAATACCATCAAATATCAGCGACCGTGAGCACAGGTTGTAAGACTGGGTTAGGGAATACACAAAATGGCGGCGTATTTGGATCTTCGGAAGTAGTTGAAATTTTCCACAGAGATAGTCAA